GTGCCGGGGAGAGCAGCCCAACCTAGAGTTAAACGCCACTCCCAAATACCCCTAACCACTAACAACTTATTTTTCCTTATGGGTTTAAATGCCAGTGAGGTCCTTTCAATGTAAACTAAATGCTATAGAATCCCTTACCACAAAAGTATACTTTCCCTTCTAATAGAATAACATAGGGTACATATACAATTCTACATTCTTTCTAACAATAGACGAACAATCCATATGTTAGGTAAATCAGAAGGTTAGACCTTCGAACACACATAAGAGAGAAACAGAGACATCATAACATATTATTAAAGGTCTAATCATTAGGAAGAAACACATTCAAAGAGAAAGTGAGGAATACATAGTTCATATATGCAGTAATACAAGAAATACAGATACTCCTACCCTGACAGACTAATGATGAACTGATTAGCTTGCTACTAGCACATGCATGGATTGGCAACACTACTTGGAATATTAAAAGGTATTAGTAAAGGTTCAGGAAAACAGTGGCAACTAGCACCTTTAACACAAGTTATCAGAGATATCAGAAACATGATCTGGACTCTCAATATGACTATAGGTCCACAGACTTAAACATGGAATCCCCTAAGGGCTCAACAGGATCATATTCCTAATAGTATTAACCTTAAACAAGCCACTATGTTCAGATAGTATCAAACAAATACTTCTCACAAGGTTTAAGGATCAGATTCAGTTTTAGATTAATAATAAAGAGAGGACTGAGGGTAGTACAAAACAAAGCATGGAGTCAGGAAGCCAAACAAGGGAACATGCAATATTCAGTCAGTTATATATAAACACTTCAAGTGAGGCTGTAATCTTATACAGACATGGATCTTTACATGTTGCAGAATCAAGTTAACCATGTCATGAAGGGAGGGGTTTGTAGATAAGGGAAGTGTTATACCAAAACAAGTTTAACCCTGGTATATAGCTTAAATTAGTATCTACATATGAAGAAATCACACTCAGTTTAACAATAATCACTTGATTATAACAGGAATAACTAGGTCCTACTTTAATGGAAGATAACTCAATGATAACTGTATGTAAGCCTTACAAAGTCAACAGTAGCTTAAAAGAGATCAAAGACAGGAAAGTACTACCCCAAATAGGTTTTGACTTAAACATGTAACTGAAGGCTTTATCTAAACATGAGACAACTAAGTACAACTTAACAGTAATTACCAGTTAACTATAACAAAACATGATCATCACTTGCCCTATGAAGAAAAGGATAACTTAATCCTAACAGAATATACATAGTAGAACTATTGGTATTCATGAAAAGAAGAAAATTCGACTCAAATAAGACTGCTTCATACAGAGGCACACACCAGTTAGGTATAATCATGAGAATGCCATAGTGACAGCCTAGAAGTTGCCCTCAGAGTTGGAAGATATAGGTATAGAGAAGGAAAGTATCTAAACACTTAGATCTTCATGCTATAATTTAATGATGGATGATATGAACTTATGAACTTTCAGGTGATCTCAGTTAGGAACTTGACCATAAGAACATAGGAAAGCAGGGTATAGAGATAATGATCACAATAAAGGTCACAATAAGATTATTTAAAGGAAAACTCTGAAATTTAGGCAAAACATGGAAGTCATTCATACATATTAAAAGGAACTTAATCATGCGGACTACTAGGACTCAAATATAAGAGTTGTTACAGTCATATAACATGCTAGTCGACATCAACTTGAGGATACTAAAAAACATGACAAAAGATCACAGACCAATAACACCTTATCATGAACATGGAGATAATATTTTGTATATCAATGATAACGTCACAAACAACTACAATTAACAGAAGACAATGAGTATATTCATAGCATTCTAATAAGATGATCAAAAGAGAAGAGTTAGAGGTATACTGACCTTTTCGAGGGAAGTAGACCAAACAAGGATCCTTCTTAATCACCTAAGATCCCAAAGCTTCAAGCTCAAAGCAGCCAAAGTACTTAGAAATGAAAACAAAAGGGGAATGAGTAAGAAACCCTAGGTTTCGAAATCTCAGAATTGCTCTTAGATGATTGTGTAGATATTGTTAGGTTGTTTTTCAGTGTTAGGTCATGGTAGATGAGAATATTAAAGGCAATTTTTATAATGCCATTAAGGCTCTAGGGTTTTAATCGGATTCAAAATTGTGAGTGAAAAGTGACGAAAGATTGATAATGATAGAAAAATCAAGTGAAATTTTGAGAGATAGAGGGGGGAAATGGTGAACACGTTACCTGAGTACAAGGATCGACCATTGAAGGATTTGTACCAGTGGTTAAAACCCTAATGCCCAGAGTTCACTGAGTTTGACCTCTGGATATCGAATCCTCATGATGAACTCTGAGACGATTCCATGCATGCTCCGATTTGACGGAACACGAAGGAAAATCAGAGATTTGATGTTGCATTCTTGAGTCTAGGGTTTCAGGATTTGGGTGTTTTGAATTTGAATAATGAAATAGGAAATAGCCGGCTGGATTCGCGGATTTCAGAAGGCAAATGGTGGTTTCAGGCTCGATCTTTGACTTATGATAGCAAATCAGATGATTTCTCTTTTGAGATTAGGATTTCGGATTAGGGCCCTTGAGCTTGTGTGATGAAAGAGGAAATTATATGCAGGATTCGTCGTGTAGCAGGGACATAAGAGATGTTTTTTAGTTGTTTCAAGTAACCTTGCACAAATTTGTGCAAGGTTATGAGAATGATGGTTGATTGAGATGAGATAAAAGAGAGAAGAAAGGGAAATGAGGGCGGCTGAGTGAAAGAGGAAATGATTAGGGTTTGGGGGGAATAGGGTTCGTCTCTAGGATTAAAGACGAGAGATGGAATGTGTGTTGTTGGATCTGTTGATCAACGGCTCCGATTATTTGAGTAATTGGAAATTTAGAAATGATTTAAGTGGGAATAATCGATGGCCGTTGGATTACTTTGATCGGACAGTTGAGATTAGATCTCTGGGTGTTTAAATTAAAGAAAAACGGAGATTAATTGTGAGCCGTTGATCTGAGAAACGGACGGCTCAGATTTGTTGTGTTTCTTGTGTGAGTGGTGAGGGAGGGTGGCGTGGCATGCGGTGATTGGTGCAAAGAGAGTGGCCTGGATTGCCACATTAGAATGGAAATGGGGTGTTTGGACTGGGTATTTCCGTTTGGGCCTTAGCAATTGGGCTGAAAATAATTTGAAGAATAGCCATTTTACATTTGATTGAGAATTACAATTGTTGCCTTTTTGTCTTTTAATCCCTTTTTGAATTTAATTTAAATAAACTTAATAATTTTCAATAAATTTGGTAAAAATTATAATTACTATATATACTACTAATTATTTTAGTTGATTATTTGTAAAATACTTTATTTTATTCTAAATTGCAACACTAATTTCGAATTTCACATAATAGTCTAATTAACTAGAAATTAAAGAGTAATTCATTAAATTAATTATAGAACCTATGTAATGTATATATATAAGAGTTATTTAATAATCTTAAAATAGTAAGTATATTTGTAATTACATAATAGTAATACTACACGATTAATTTCAAAAATAATACTTAATTAATTTGTAAAAATAGATATTTATTACTAGAAAATACTCTTAAAAATATTTATTGTAAATTATGAAGCATAAGTAAATTAACTTAAAAAGGAGAGTCAAAATTGTGCGTCAACAACATTTTCTTGTGGTTGGGTGCTGGCGAGGGCTATCGATAAGTCAACATAGGCACAGACGCGCTTGTCACTTGGCACGACCAAGACCACTGGGCCATCCATGGTTCTAGGCATTGGGAGGCTTGCCAGGACGCCATGGGGTGCATCCAAGGGGTCATGGGGCATGACTGGAAAGCCGCCCCATGACCTGTTCGGAGGCCAATTCGAGAGACAAAGGGTTTTTAGAGTATTTATTTGGCTTATTTGAGGTAAGCATCTTGCCTAACCTTGTGTGGGGGAATACCCATTAGGATTTGACCTTAATTGTTTATTTGTGTTATGTGAAAAGCATTGTGCACACGAGGTGACGTGCGTGTACACATGTGCTATTTATGGTTTATGACCGAATTAGACCTTACGTTATTAATATGCCTTAATTTAGGGATGTATTTTATATGAAATATGCTCCATCGCTTTGTGGCTATTGTGATATTATCAGGACGGAGCATACGGGTGGCTATTATGATATTATTGGGACAGAGCGGTATGGGTGGCTATTGTGATTTTACCAGGACAGAGTGATACGGGTGGCTATTATTGTTGTGATAAAATTGTGGACATGAGGTGCTATTTGTATGTGTTTCTTTGTGATGACTTGTTGTTGATACTGAGTCTTTACTTGCATTGAATTTTTGTCTCTTATTCTGATGAAGTTATTGCTATTGTTTTTCTGCTATACTTTTGTTGTCAGTCTTTGATTTATTGCACAAGTTATTTTGAATAGTGAGGATCACATGACTTGAACCTCGTCACCACATCGTCGAGGTTAGTCTTGATACTTACTGAGTACTGACCATGGTGTACTCGTACTACACTTTCGCATATTTTTTGCAGATCCAGGTGTTGGAGGCAGCACGCTTAGGCAGTGAGAGCTACTTGACTGCGAGGATTCAAGATAGAGCTGCATTTACCATCGCAGTCCCTTAGATTCCTATCCTTATATTGATACTTTCATTTTATTATTTGAACAGTATTGTACTTTGAGATATTCTTATGTATTTCGTTCGAGCTCGTGACTCTGTACTACCTAGTTCTCAGAGATATTGTGATTATCGCCACTTTGGCTTGTATTACCTCTATTTCCGCATTTATGTTAAACTTTGCTTTATTTTATTATGTTTTATTGATTTAAATATTTATAAGTGATCGGTTTACCTAGTTTTAGATACTAGGTGTCATCACTACCCTTACAGTGGGATTTGGGTCATGACAACAATGCAGTTACTCACGATCATGGTTTACTCAACACTTGGGGTTCATACAAATATTTAACCAATATAAACTTTTTCCTTATTTCCCATACCAAGGTAATATTTCAACCTTTGACCATTGACCGTGAACTTGGGAGTTCCATCTTTCGACTCAACTGCAACTGCTCCGGTAGGATATACCTCTAGCACACAAAAATGGTCCTGACCATCTTGACTTCAACTTGCCTGGAAGCAATTTCAGTCTAGAATTGTACAACAGTACCAAGTCTCCAAATATAAAATTTTGCTCCGCAATATTCTCGTCAAGAAACATTTTCATTCTCTCCTTGTATAACCTTGTGTTGGCAAAAGCATGGTAATGGAAGTTATCAAGCTCGTGCAACTCTATGACTCTATTTGTACCCACAACTTCCATATCAAGATTCAGTTGCCTCAATGCCCACAAAGCTCTATGCTCCAACTCTATCGGTAAGTGACAGGCCTTCCCAAAGACCAATTTGTACGGTGACATACAAATTTGAGTTTTGAAAGCATTGCAATAAACCTAGAGTGCATCCTCTAACTTCCTCGCCTAATCCGTTATTGTAGCATTGACAATCTTTGTCAAAACACTCTTTATCTATCTGTTCGACACCTCCACTTGCCCACTTGTTTGTGAGTGATACGGAGTGGACACCTTATGGCGAGCACCATATTTCTCCAACAATTGCGTGAAGTCTCGATTGCATGAGTGGGTGCCTCCATCACTGATTATTGCCCTTGGTGTGCCAAGCTGGGTGAAGATGTTATTTCTCCAAAAACCAATTACTCCCTTTGCATCATTTATAGGGGGTGCCATAGCTTCTACCCATTTTAACACATAGTCCACAGCTACAAATATGTATTTGTTACCATATGAGATGACAAAAGGCCCCATGAAATTGATTCCCCGTACGTCAAACACTTCCACCTCCTGAATTGGATTCATGGGCATCTCATGTCGACGGGAAATGTTCCCGGTCCACTGGCATTCATCACCACCATTTACCTAGAAGTATGCATCTTTGAACAATGTAGGCTAATAGAAGCCCGACTCTAACACCTTAGCAGCTGTCCTTACCCCTCCAAAATGGCCACCATATGGTGAAGCATGACATGCCTATAAAACAGAAGTCTGATCTGTCTCGGGAATACACCTCCGGATAATGTTATCAATACAAATCCTGAACAAATATGGCTCATCCGAGAAATATATGCAACAATCACGAAAGAACTTTTTCTATTGCACGGAGGACAAGTCATAGGGAACAATACCACTTTCCAGGTAGTTTACAATGTTTGTATACCATGGATATACCTCGAGGCTTGTCACTAAAAGTTGTTCATCCGAGAAAGTCTCCACAATCTCTTCTATATTAACCTTATTGTCGGCTCCTTCAAGCCTGGACAAGTTATCAACCACTTTGATCTCCGTTCCCTTTCGATATCATATTTACAAGTCAATTTTTTGCAGTAGTAGCACCCATCGAATCAGGCGTGGATTTGGCTCCTTCTTTTCAATTAAGTACCTGAGAGAAGCATGGTCAGTATAAACAATTACCTTAGATCCTATTAGGTATGAACTGAATTAGTCAAATGCGAACACCACTGCTAGCATCTTCGTCTGAGTCACTGTGTAGTTTAGTTTGGCACCACTCAAGTTTCTACTTGCATAGTAGATTGGGTGCACGACCTTATCTCTTTGCTACCAAAGAACTGCTCCCACAGAATAGTAGCTTACATCACACATCAGCTCAAATGGTTGCTCTTAGTGAGGTGCAACTATGATTGGTGCATTCACCAACCTCTTCTTCAACTCCTCAAAAGCTACCCTACAATCATCAAAAAACACAAAGTGGTGATCAGTTTTAAGCAATTTACCAAGAGGATTAGCAATTTTGGAAATATCTTTTATAAATCGTCTATGGAAACCGTCGTGACCAAGGAAACTTCTTATTACTTTGACAGAAGTGGGTGGTGGCAACATCTCTATCACATCAACTTTACCGCGTTCCACTTCAATGCCATTACTTGATACTACGTGTCCCAAGACTATACCTTCCATGAAATGGCACTTTTCCCAATTTAGCACCAGATTAGTCTCCATACACCACTTCACCACTTTTCTCAGATTTACAAGGCAGTCATAGAATGAGTTCCCCACCACTGAGAAATCATCCATGAAAACCTCCATTATATCATCTACCATATCAGTAAAGATGGCCATCATGCACCTTTGGAATGTGGCGGGTGCATTGCATAGGCCAAACGGTATTCTCCAAAAAACATGGATGCCATATGAACATGTAAATGACATTTTCTCTCTATCCTCCAAGGAAATAGAGATCTGGTTATACCCCGAGTATCCAACTAAGAATCAAAAGGGGTACCTCCCTACCAATCTATCTAACATCTGATCAATAAACAACAGGGGAAATGGTATTTTCGGGTGGCCTTGTTCAATTTTCTGTAGTCCATACATATTCGCCAGCCCGTGACTATTCTTGTTGAGGTCAACTCATTGTTCTCATTTCGTATCACAATCATTCCACCTTTATTTGGAACACATTGAACTGGGCTAACCCAGTTGCTGTCTGAGATGGGGAAAATGATTCCCGCATCTAACCACTTGATCACCTCTTTCTTCACCACTTCTTTCATATTTGGGTTCATCCTTCTTTGGTGTTCTCTGGTGTCATGACCTAAAATCCTAACCTGTCGTGATGGCGCCTATCGATGGTACTTGGCAAGCCGATTCTCAAAAATTCTTCCAATGTTTCACAAAAGATAAGTCAAAAGCTTTTACATGACAGAGTTTTCGTAAAAACGGGAGTTAAACTTAAAATACAGTGCGGAAAAATAGCCCCAACATCGGGTGTCACCAAGTCATGAACATCTAAACAACCAGTCTAAGAAATAATGTCTACAAGAGTCTGTGACAAAATACCAATACAGAAAAGAAACAAATAACAAGGAAGGAGAGACAAGGACTGCGAACGCCGGCAGCTACCTCATGAATCTCTGATACTCAACCACGCACGAGATCAACGTCCTCCGTGACCGGAAACACTTGGATATGCACACGAAGTGCAGGGTGTAGCATGAGTACAACCAACTGAGTAAGTAACAATAATAATTAAGGAATTGAAAGGTAGTCACGAGCTATACAAATACAGTTCATTTCAGTAATTTCAGCAATAAAAGTAGACATGTTTCAATTCCAGCAATTTAAGTCAAGTCAACTACACATTACCAAGTTCAGGTAAAACCGGATACAATATTTTCCCGTCACCTAGCATGTGCGTCACTTCCAAACAATCATTTAATACAAAATCCGGGGTTTCATACCCTCAGGACCAGAATTAAAACTGTTACTTACCTCAATCCGCGCAAAACTCTACTCCAAAATGCCTTTGCCTCTCGAATCAGTCTCCAAACGTCCCGAATCTAGCCACAAGCAGTACAATACAATCAATATAGGCTAAGGGAAATCAATTCCACAAGAAAAATATGAAATTATAGCCAAATACAAAATCAGCTCAAACCCGGCCCTCGGGCCCACGTCTCGTAATCCGACAAAATCACAAAACCCAAAAGCCCATTCACTCACGAGTTTAACCATACCAAATTTATCAAAATCCGACACCAAATGATCATTCAAATCCCCAAAATTTACTCTCCAAATCCCTAGCCTCAAACCCCCAAATTACATCTAAAAAACACACCAACTAGGTGGAAAATCAGTGGGGAAACATCATTATTGAAGAAAAGTCAACACAAGAAGCTTACCTCAATAATCTCTTCAAAAACCCTCTCAAAAACCTCCAAAATTGAGCTAAAACGTTAGAAATGGCCAAAAATCTCGGAACCTCGCTTATATAGGTTCTTCCCAGGCATTTCCGCACCTGCGCGCACGCTTGTACGAAAACATGAGCTCTCTTGTGAAAACTACTAACTACGGCTGCCTCCGCTCCTGCGACCACTGGTCCGCATCTGCGCGATCGCAGGTGCGGAGAAACCATCGTACCTGCGACCTCTTCTGGTCTACACCCTTTCCGCACCTGCGCTTAACCTGCTGCGCCTGCGGCATCGCACCTGCGGCTAATACCCTCGCAGGTGCGATCACACCAGCAAAAGACCAAACTTCAGCAATTCCTCAACATCCATTCCAAGTCTGTTAACCACCCGAAATCAACCTGAGGCCCCCGGGACCTCAACCAAATATACCAACAAGCCCTAAATCACGATACGAACTTAGGCGAGCCCTCAAATCTCCTCAAACAACGTCAAAAACACAAATTACATACGGAGTCAAGCCTAATGAACTTTGAAATTTCCAAATTCTACAAACGACGCCAAAACCTATCAAATCACGTCTGATTGACCTCAAATTTCGCACACAAGTCACAAATGACCCCACAAACCTACTGCATCTTACGGAATCAGAATCTGACCCTGATATCAAAAAGTCAACCCCCCGGTCAAAATTCCCAAAAATTCGACTTTCGCCATTTCAAGCCTAATTCTACTCCCGACCTCCAAATCACAATCCGGACATGCTCCTAAGTCCAGAATCACCCAACGGAGCTAACGGAACCATCAAAATTTCAATACGAGGTCGTTTACACATAAGTTAACATCCAGTCGACTTTACCAGCTTAAGATTTCAATTAAGAGACTAAGTGTCTCAATTCACTTTGAAATCTCCCCGGCCCAAACCAACCAACTCGATAAGTCATAAAACAACAGTGAAGCACAATGCGCATATCTTGTTTGGTCTCTCAAGTCTCCTCCTCGACCGGCTGACCCCTCCACTGAACCTTCACAGAAGTAATATTCTTCAACCTCATCTTTCTAACCTATCTATCCAAGATCGCCACTGGCTCCTCAACATAAGATAAATCCTTGTCCAACTGGACTGAGCTGAAATTTAACACGTGAGACGGATCACCGTGATACTTCCGGAGCATAGAAACATGGAATACTGGATGAACTCCTGCTAGACTGGGAGGCAAGGCAAGCTCATAGGCAACCTCCCCAACACGTCGCAACACCTTAAATGGGATGATAAACCTCGGGCTCATCTTGCCCTTCTTTCCGAACCTCATAACACCCTTCATGGGTGACACCCGGAGCAGGACCCACTCTCCAATCATGAATGCAACATCGCGAATCTTCCGATCCACATAACTCTTCTGTTTGGACTGGGCTGTGTGCAGTCTATCCTGAATCACCTTAACCTTCTCCAGGGCATCCTGAACCAAGTTTGTACCCAATAATCTAGCCTCGCCTGGCTCGCACCAAACCACTGGAGACCGACACCGCCTACCATACAGAGCCTCATACGGTTCCATCTAGATGCTCGACTGATAACTGATGTTGTAGGCAAACTCCGCAAGTGACAAGAACTGATCCCAAGAACTTCGAAAGTCTATCACACATGCACGGAGCATATCATCTAATATCTAAATAGTGTGCTCGGACTGTCTGTCC